TAGGGTCTCTTCTGTCCAGCTGCAACAAGGCAGAGACACAATAATTCTGGATTAAAAAAGAACAAGTTTCTGTTTCTGAGACCTGTCAAAAAGTAACACATTCTTTCCCCATTTTATTCCATGTTCAGGCCAAGGACGTTGCCAATAGGATTATTTTTACAGCCTCAGCAGGCAGTGAGCCACCGGAACACAAGAAATCCTGACACAGGTCATGTCTGTGCTGCTGTTTCAGAGCCAGGGTACCCACAGGCATCCCCATGGGGTGAATTCCAGCACTGCACAGGCTGGGATGACTCTGCCATCACGCCGTGAGAGGTGTAAAGCATCAGCAAGTCAGACTGGGGAGCGGCTGAAGCTCCTTTAACTGTCCCATTTCTCCCTCCTAAAATACCAATGTCTATGTATTAATTAATATCTATATCTCCCCAATTTTTTGAGAAATTCTTTCTTACAATTATTACTGATAATTTAAATTACGGTTAACAGATCAGTTTTTCGTATTACAGAAATCCACACCATGGGTAACTTTACCCAACTGACAGCAGCATCAACAGCGAAAATACTGGTCTATCAAGTAGCATCACACAGGATAGAAACAAAGCATTTACCAGCTGTCTGTGGATAACGGCTGGCGTGATGGGTGATGCTTGATTGTCATGTGCCACATCAACCTTTTAAACGCTGGTCAGAAACTCTTCTGTTCCAGATAGATGGTGTGTCCAGCCCCCTCACACTACCTGGCTTCTCTGCTGGAGGAGAAAAAACACCACTCAAAAATTCAGAAGTGGAGTGTTTTTCCTTCATGAATCCAAGCAGCTCTAACCCTCCTGGCAGTTCGATATCACCTGAATTCAGTGGGGTTTGTCCTTGTTAAAATGGTGCAGTATAAAAAATAGAAAATAGTGATATGCAAAAATAGTTCATTTTATCCCAGAGTTAGAATTAACAATAAAAGCTATCGACAGATAAGGCAATCTTAAGAATGAGAAACATGAGAGTACCAACAAAACAGTCATTTGTTAAAACAGGGGTACCCCCCCAATTCAGGCAAGGGCTCTCTGAATTTCTATAAGCATCCACTACCATTAAAAAAAAAATTCTGGAAAGCAAACACTGTTATTCCTTGAACAGAAAAGTAAATGAGCCACAGATAAAGACTGGAAATAATTTCCAAGCCTTACTGTAAACCCCAGGAGAATAGCACACAAACATCAGACAAAAGCAGGCTGTTCTGTATCTTAACAAAATGGTGTTTTAATGTATTATCTCCTTTTAGTGAGAAAATTGAAGAGTTCAGAAACAGTGACAGGAACGTGCAGTCTTCTTGAAGTCAAGGCTGTCCTGACTGCTCAGAGAAGAGAAATGCTTTGACCGCCCAAGTAAAGATCAGAAACCCTGCTGTAGTTTCTAAGTGTGTCATAACAGACTTAAAGATAGAATTAAAAAAAAAAAAAAAGGGATACTTCACCTAGAAATGAGTGCAGCAACAAAGCTAAAGACAAACTAAGAGAAGCTGTAAAATAAATGGGAACTGCAAACTAGCTAGCAAATGTGCACAAAGAGAAAGACCGCAGCAGACAGACTGGCAATAGGTGTGATGGTATAGGAAACTTTATTGCACCATCATGCTTACATCTTGTCCATGTAATGACAGCAGCTGCAGTTCTCATCTTTTCAGGGAACAGGAACGTTGCTTGTATCTCCTAATTAGTAAAACTTAGTAGTTGGTGAGGATGTTTTGTTATGAATTCAACTGCCAGCACCCATTCACATACTGCACCTTCTCTCAAGTCTTCTGGGCCCTGATGCCAGTAATTTAAATGCCAACTTCCCTGCTTATTTGGTTGATGAAGTTAAGCACTCAAGAACAGGGGATGCACTTGTACTCTTCGAGGTAGGAATTTAATTATTTTTTTTTTTTCAGCACGAATACTATGTGCCTTATCTTAAAAACCAAAACAAAGCAAGACCAAACACTAAACCATACCACAAAACCACCACCAAGATATTTGTTCCATTATTTTATTACATAAAAAGTTGATTGTCCATTGGAAATTCTTCACAAAGTGCAACTACAGCTTGTGTGGTATCATTGACAAACTCTTTTTTTCTGAGGACAGCTGGGTTAAAAATCTAACGGTAACTTAGAAGACTTAGTTATGGTGCTAGAACAGAGAAACCACTAAGCTGCGTGGAGAAAAGCAGCAAATATTTAACTGTCATGAAAGCAGATGATTTTACACATACCTCTGTACAATACGCAAAAAAAGAGGAAATTATAAGAGCTATAATCACCACCCTTCTTGTTGAAATTTGTTTCAAAGGCTGTATCTGAACCGCCTGCATGTAGAGCCAAAAATCTGTTATTGGAAGTCTGATGAGACTCAAATGCAGAATCCAGCATCTGCTGGGTTACTTGCAGAACATTAGTGACCTTAAGTAACTTTTTGAAGATATTTATGTATACGTACATATATAAGTGATACTGTGTTCAGGCTTCATTACAAAATAACATCTACCTATTTAACACCGTACCAGGACACGTGCTACAGTCCCAGAGACTTACTGGTTTTAAAAGGGAACAGAAGTTGTTTTGGAGTAGAATTATGAACCACGATACCAGAGAAAGACTGGCTGGTGAAGAAGTTCCTGCCCAACAGCCACATTATACTTACTAGCATATTTAATTATTTGTTGAGTGTAAAGCATGAAAAAGGCAGAAGAAAAATAGAAGATAAAAAAGCTACTTGAAGGCAGCATTTAGTGTTTTATATCAAAAAGCAGCCCTCAAGTCATTACTCTTACTAAAAACCTAAAAATAACCACCCCAAAACCAAACACTTCAACTATGTAGCACAGAACAAGCCTGCATTTGGCATAGGCAACTTAATGACTCAAAGCAACCAAACAAAAACCCTGGTCAATGGGCTGGCTGAATTTCAACAAAGCTGCCCCCTCCTTCTAACTATAAAGGGAAAAGACCCAACCTACTGTAAATGCAGATTTATGAATGACTGAAACAAGTATCTGTTCCCAACAGCTGGGCTATAGCGTAGTACTTGTTTCTCCTCCTCGGCTAAGTTGCTTTTGTGTTATTTGTATACTGTGTTCATTGCTTAATTATTTAGCTCCGGAAGAACCCAACTGACCAAAACAGAAATCATATTTCTGTTTCATAATTCTAGGAAAAATAGAGAAACTGCAGTTCCACATGTTTCGGATCACAATCTGAATTGTCACCTCTACACAGATTTAAGTTGTAAAAAGAAAAACTCATTAATACTTTATAGTTTCATCTAACTTCTGTTCATCTCTTGAGATGAGAAGCAATATTCTTCAGAAAAAGGAAGATACAATCCCAGAACCCTTGACAAAATGATAAACTAGTTCTGAAAAAGAAATGGACTGCACACCTCTCCTCAATCCAATGTGATATTCAAGTACCTACGGAGACTCTTCTCAACTCCACTACACATGTGGATTAACAGTAGAATATAAAAGTAATATAGTTAAACCTGAAGAAATACATTATTTTCATTTTTCCACTTGAACAGGCACAGACCTGTTTAATGAAGCATGGTCAGAAAGGCTTCTTTAATCCAATATTCATAGAAATATAATTAAAATTAAATAAAACTGATCACCTGGAACCTTCATCAATGTTATTTAGGCCAGAAGCCAAGGATGGGTTAGTCTGTCTTCCAAATACCTGACTAATGGCATAATTACTTAAAAGGTTTTACTACTCAGTGAAACAGTAAGTTTGGTGACATCTTTTATTTTAGTACAAGCTCTCAGTAAGTCACAGTTTCCCACTTTTGATACTGAAGTATTCCACAAAAATCAACCATTATGGTTCAATTAGGACCTTTTATCCAAAACACTTGGATTTTAGCACCTTAAATAAAGAGTCAAAGTAACACTTTAGTAGTACTGAATGAAGACAGTTAATACTGTGCTCATCCTCCGGAAAATGATATGGACCATACAGACTAGGTGCATTTAGTCCTTAACACATAGCAAGGCAGAAGGGAAACAATTCTAAGCAATGTATTTAACCAAATACAATCTGAAAAATAATAAAACCTTCTCAATTATACAAAGTCTTCTGAGGAGAAATCAAATTTGCTCCCATACATCAAACTTCTTACTATTTAAATCCAATGTTCATTTACAATCAACTATGTCCGTCAGGAATCTGTACCAAAAAAAAATATAAACTGGTTATTAAACATCAGTAAGTGATATGTTTAACTCAAAGTTTAACTCTGCACTGTAACTAGTGCTTTTTCAAAGATTTAAACAAACCCTTAAACCAGTAAAACAAGCTAATGTCAGAGTTACAGCCATTTCTTCTAGCTCACTGTCCAGAAAATGGGACACACATAGCATTTGCTTCCACAGGCACAGCTCTTTGGCAGCAGCAGCAACCCGAATGCCATGAATCTGACTTTTCCTTTCACCCCAACACTGCTCACGCAGGTGCTGTAACTCCATGAGCATCCCACCATCACTTCTGACGGGTACAGAATCGCCTTTCTGCACTGATCTGGAGTGCGTTAGCTGAGCACCTGCCTAACTTCTACCACGCTTCTAAGCACTTCTATGGATTTCTGCGAGTGACAGAAGGGGTTTTGTTTATTTTAAATAAACTGTCCTAAACCTTGTAATTTCAGGCATCTTTGGCCACAGTAACGCTATTCTTTGCAATTTCAGGCAGCTTTGCCAACTGAGTCTAGCAGACTGGCTTCAAAGATCTTTTAGTGCCGTACTCTGCTATCTAACAGCAGCTACGAATCGACCGACCAACTCGCATACCCAGGATGGACTTGGCTACTACTACAAATGAACACTGGTGTATTCTGAGACTGTATTCTTTTCCATTTAAATTCAGTTTGCAATGTTAGACACATAGATTCATATGTTAATTTTAAACAACAACAAAAGCATAAAAAGGACAAACTAAAGTAGTCAACTGCTGGTATTAAACATTACCTTTCCTGTAACTAAACAAATGGCCAACATTAATAAGTAAACTGGTGTATTTCAAGATAGAAGTCTTTTAACCTCAGTGATCTCGGCTTCCTTCCTTCCCCCCAATAAAGCCAGGAATTGTATTGAAATTTAATTTCTCTTCAAGGACCAGCAGAGCAGTATTCAGTCTGGTTAATGCATCCATCATAGATCCTCCCTCTGCTTGGTTGCTCGGTTGTCCTCTTTGATATTATTAGATTTCTTGTCCACATCTTTTTTCTTCTTTACTTTTTCAGGTTTTGTTTTGTTTTTCACTTTCTCACTTTCTTCTGCTCCTTTCCCAGGATAAACCTGACCTTCCAGAGTAACATCTGCACACCTTTCTTGACTTATCAGGAAGTCTTTGATCTCCCAGGCATAACCACCATCACGTAGCATAAAGATGGCACGATTTGAGCCAACAATAAACCTAGAGGAAAGATATTTTTTTTTTCAGTTAGCTCCATGCCTTTCAAGTTCTACAACATTTTGCTAAATTCAGAGCATCTCCACAACTGAGGCATACATTTAAGAGCAAGAAGTTGGTTTTGTTGTTGCCTGGGGATGGACACAAGAGAATAATTTTATAGCACAGGGAAGAACAAAATGTATTAAGTTTACAAATAACCAAGGAGGAGTAAGACTACAAAGAAAACTTAAGAACTAATTCGGCACTATGTAAAATCCACTAATGGACATTAAATTTGCTTAATACACTTACTGCTACCCTTCTCAGCCTCAATTCAAGAGCACAACATTCCTCTGTTTGAAAACAATCCTCTCTCTCTCTCTGAGAGAAAAGTCTCATTTTTAGCCAGAGGAACAAAAAGCCTTTTGTGGTGACAAGTCTTCCGAGGGTGATGTTTTCCATCAAGCACATAAAGGCAAACTACTGCAGCGAAAACTGATAAATAGCTGAAACGTAATGAGATAAAAAGAAACTAGGCTATATGTACATCATGCATAAGCGTTAAAAAGATTTGTGCACCACATCAGAGCTTTTGCAGTGTGACTTAAAACAAATAGGTATATAAATTGACAGAGAAACAAAGAAAAAGTGACAGAAGATGGAGGTGGGGAAGGGCACACGATGAACAGTTGAAAACATTTTTAGGAAACAAGCAGCAAGTGATCCGTAAAAGCAAGAACTTTATCTTTGTGTACACCAGCTTACCTCTGCACATCATAGTTTGCATTGAAGAGACTGCCCTGCCACAAGCTAGTAATTTCTTCCGTCTCCTTTTCTGTGGGATTTCCCGACACCGTGACAAACATCATCAAAGTCTTCCCCTTTTTCGTCAGCTTCAGGATACTTTCAGGCTTGCCTGGATCAATTTTTGAGAAATCTATTGGTGCTGGAGGCCTCTTGTGCTCAGGAAGATCCCCCTCTTCAATGTCATCATCTTTCTATTTTGGGGAAAAAAAAAAAAAAAAAGTGTCTTTAAACTCAACTGTTCCACAAAGCTGTTCTTTTTAAAATTTTACCATTGTTTAGAGAACTCTGATTTGATTAAGTATTTTTAGTTTAATGATGGAGACTCTCAAACCAAAAGAAATAGTAAGTTTTGTTTCAAGATACTTCACCAAGCGTGCTCTTCCCATTTATAACGTTCCCCTCAAAATGATGCACATTTTCATACTGACAGGTAGCATCTCATTTTACCATGTACTGAGAAATATTTCAGCCTCAAGGCTAATTTAATACAACTCCATCTAGGTACTTCATAAAATAACACTTTTTTTTTTTCCAATTTATTAAGTAAACAAGATGAACTCAAAGTTGCCTCAGACACACAAATAAAGTCATTCATCTGCATATTGCTTTCAGAGGCTAAAACTCACTTCTGGGAATCATGCAATCACTTGAGAACTTTGTTTTCCTTACTTTGTGTCTTCAAATAAAAACACAAGGAATCAGAATTTCAATGCTCATGCCACAGGAAAACTCTTACTAAAAGTTTCATTACTTCATTATATTTTAGGTGTTGTTTTGACTTCAACCATTTAATGAAAACATGCTCACTCCACTAGGAACGTGACCTGTAGCAATATCTAAAGACATTACCTTCAGAAGCCTCAAAGGTCAGGAGCCAAGTTTGATTTTTAGATCCCACTATGCATTACCTCCTCACCTCCGCACACGCATATATACAAACACATCATCCCCTTACAACACCCCACTACAGAGAGCGTCCCGTACCCGTTAAAGGTTAAGATTTCATACAAGTGACCAGTGTTTTTTTCCCCCATTTCAAGTACCTGGAGTTTGCTGTCTTTCTGACAAGAGAGTTTAAAATTTAGTTATCACAGAATAAAAGCTGCAAAAGCCTTACATTTTATCCTTTCTTTCTGAATTACATATCTCTTTCCATTTTGCAAGTCTGAAGCATACTTTCAAGCAGTTCACACACCTTTGAAAATTCCACATGAAGTGATCTGGGAGCAAAGGAGGGCCCCAGGAAAGTCCCGCTGCCCTCACCAAGTGGGAAGAATACTTATCTAAGAGGAAGTGGCAAAATGCTCATACTGGTAAAGTACAGTGAAAATACAAAAAACTTACATGGTTGAATGAAAAACATTCTTCAGAAGTAAAAGCAAATCAATCCTAATTTTAAATTAGTTTGGCTAGCGCCAACCCAGCTTATTTCACAGTTCTGAAAGGGAAAGGCAGGAACAAATGTTTCCAACTACTCCTTATACCATACAGAAATTGACTTTGGTTTTAGTAGCAACACAACCTACTAACATACATTACCTATTTTTCCCTTAACTATTCAACTAAATGCTCATAACATTGTATTGTTACAGTTTGAATAGAAATATTATAAGAAGTTGTCAAAAGTTTTCCTACATGACACTTCTTTCCTTGATCCTATCCCAACTATCATGCAGTTGTGTATTTATAAAGCTATCTATAAAGTAGAGGACTGGAAGGGGAAGCTTTTGCTTTGAAATGTCTAGCAGATTCATTCATTTAAACAGTAACAGGAGGCTTCAAATGGAAAGCATTACACAGACACAGTCATGACTATATATCCCTTTTCTTTCTCCTCCCCTCAGCTCCCATTCTCATGCATTTCTCATCAACGCTCTAGATTTTTACTTTTAAAAATATTAGCAACATATGTCACCTAATTCCTTAGCCTATTCAACAGTCTTAGCTCAGGGCCAAGCCTGAGAAACCCTGAGTTTATGACAATAACGAACTGTTCTAAAAAAAATATGACATTTCAGTAACAGAAGGACCTCTAGACCAGATTCTCAGTTCTGCTTCCAGCTCCTCTGGACCCAAGGCTGATGGAGAGTCCCTTTCCAATGAGGGAAATCCCTCGGTGGCTTTTGTGAAGCTTCACCTACGTGACTGAGCTGCTGAAGCAACCTCTATCTCTCTTCCCTGTTCCCCACACTCATTTTCCACTAGATCACTCTCCCAGTTCACCAGGCAGTCACGCACATCATTGCATCAGCACAGTACAAGGGGCAGCCCAAGAGCCTGAACAGAAATGTGGCTGATTGCTCTGGAACCACAGGCTCAGCCTCACCAGGATACTATAGCCACCATCCTCCAATGCTTTTAGACTAATTTCCAGGGAAATAAATATTAGGAGTCATTTCACTCAGCTGAAAGTAATGACACTTGATTCTGTACAGATCTGTGCCCCTCATCTCCCGAGCATAATTCCTGCTCTTATCCTCCAACGCTTTTAGACTAATTTCCAGGGAAATAAGAAATATTAGGAGTCATTTCACTCAGATGAAAGTAATGACACTTGATTCTGTACAGATCTGTGCCCCTCATCTCCCGAGCATAATTCCTGCTCTTATCCAAATTCATAATGGCCCCTTTGTTTCTTGTCCCACCCCATCAAGTCCACTCATGCCCTTTCTTCTCTATCCTCCAGCCACCACTCCCTCAAGTCTTTCATGTTCCTTGTACATGCCCTAACTACCACCAGGCAAAATGCTGACCATCCCCAAGACCAAACAACCGCTGCTGAGCCCCTGCTTCAGTAACTTTTTTCTTCTAGGGCTCTGGTTGCATTTCCCTCAGTGACAATGTCAACCCCAGCTGCCAACTCCCCAGCTGCTCGGCCACATCTGCGCACAACATGGCTGCGAGCATTTGTGCAGCACATGGTGAACTGGATCAGAGACCTGCTCCAGCTAAAGACGAAAAACCCTGAACAGCCTCCTGGCCCTGCCTGCCACATGGCTGGAACCGAACATACAGCCAAAGAGTCACGACAGCATTAACTCAGAGATGCTCATCTTTAAGATTTAAACAAAATCGGTTGAAGTTGGCCAATACCAATTAAGGCTTGATTTTTTAGCAGCTGGGACTATCCAGACCTCAGCTGATGCTACTAACAGAAAGATGAACTTTTGAGCTTTTTACATAATTTTATTAAAAATTTTAACTTGATTTTCTAAGAATCTCCCTTCCCAAAGGGAGAGACACAGTAACAGTCCATGGGATGAACAAGTCCATAACCTACCAAGCAGGTGCAAGGCAGATATCCTTGCTTTGCACAAGAGTTACTTTATCTGTATTACCTGTACAAAACCTACTTCTCCACCTCGACTGACAGCTGTTAACTGGTGCTACAGGAGACAGAAACTGTCATTCCATTACTTCCTCCAGTTTTTGTGCAAAGCCTTCTGGGGAACAGCCTCATGGGAAAGAACACAAGACATGGATGAGTGCGCTGGCATTTATCAGAGGATGATGGAAGGCAAAAAGAAACGGACAGTGGCATGACAATCGCATGGAGAAAAGAGTGATGGGGACCTGTCAAGGAAAGCTAAGGCAGCAGACTGATGGTGGTGAAGGGGACAAGAGCGACCTGCAATTGTAAGAAGTTGTTACCATGAGGAGTGGCAAGGAATGAAGCACCAAACCAAAAAAACAACTACATTATCTACTCTGCAAAGGTGAAATGAGTATTTCTTCTGCTATCCGCCCTTTGGTCATAAAATGTATATCCTTTAACAGGCCGAAACAGCAGACGTTTCAGTCAAACCGGGCTGTTCAGCATGCAGCCGCTGCCTGTGTTTGGGAGCAGGGCAGCAGGGCAGGCTGTGGGCACCGGGGCCGAGAGCGGCTCCCTCAGGAGCCCCTTCTATGCCCACTCGCCCCCATTTTATAACCTCCCCCCACACGAACCCGGAGCCTCAGCGGAAGGAAACC